TGTTGGACCTCTGAAAAGTATTATTTCTGCCACTACACCTAAAATTGGGCCCTTTGAAACAGTTTGTCACAACTCTTGATAAGGAGTCTGCAGACTTCAAATACTTTCAAGACTTCAACCCTAAGCTGTCTGCGGCAAAAGTCAAAGCCGGTGTCTTTGTCGGACCACAAATAAAGAAACTCATAGGGTGCAAGGGATTACCAATAAATCTCACTAGGACGAAGAAAGATCCGTGGAACAGCTTTGTCACAGTAGTCCCGGGTTTCCTGGGGAATCAAAACGTCGGAAACTATGTGGAGCTTCTTGAGACCCTGGTGAAGAACTATGGCAAAATGGGATGCGGGATGTCGCTGAAAGTCCATATCCCTGACGCTCAAGAACATGGTGGCGTACTCAGAGGAGCAAGATGAGCGCTTTCACCAGGATATACTGAACTTTGATGCTGTGGGAAACACGGTGGAGTAATGGTTAGCGGCTGGGAATTGAGGAATCGGAGAGACGATTTCGAATTCCAGTCGGATCCATTAAATTCGCTTACGTGCAACTACTCTTGTGAAAGGTATGAATCATCTTCTATCAAACCGCCTAGCTATGAGTAAACTGAGTCTGGGCAAGACAGTCTGGGTTTTATAGCTTTTGGTGGCAACCAGTTCAGGAGAAGGAAACTCTGAATTCAAAACCGGCCTGAAGAGGATTGGACTCCCTCAGGCTATCTTGCCCAAGAAACACCATTTCTACTGCAGCTGCAGTACAGGTGCTGCCCCTACGACCCTGATAGATCACAAGATTTGCGATCGCGACCGACTAAGGATCGTATAACGAAAACATGCAAGGAGACTATATTTGGGTGTTGATTCGTAAAATTAATTTACAGTATAAGCGTAACTCACTTCTAGATTTTTTGTGGTCTTTCTTATGCAATTCTAGTATAAATAAATATTATTTTTGAATCATATGTCGTTTTGTCCTTACTTTGCATCACTGGGAATATTCACATTCGCCAGTTTTCCCATTGGGAATAGGTTAATTCCAAAAATATCATTATCCTGGCCACAAAAGCATAATCAGAAGGAAATGTAAGCCATGTTTCATAAGAAATAACATTTGCTACCCAAGGACAAAAATCGTGTTACACAGTGTAATTATTAACTTTCAACTTGTATTTCTTTCATCATCTTTTCTCCTGGTTTTTATCACAAATTCCGGGCCGTCATTCTACGATCGGTAATAAACTGTGCAGATAGCAAACAGCGAAGAGACCTCCAGTGAGAACATCACTTATTCTCGGGGAAGTTTCACTTGTCCACGAAAATATCATTAGTTTAATTTTTGACTAATGCTTTATCATCTTATTCCTATTGCTTTCACGTCGCCGAATATGTGAGCATCGACGATGTTTTTTAGAGAAGATCTAAACAAAAAAGAACGCTTATTCTTAACATCGGGAAGAGACAGTTGAAATTTCCAAGACACATAATGAGGAAAGACGGATTAGAAAATCTGATACCCACAGGACAGATTAAAGGCAAGTGAGACAGAAAAAACAACGCATAATCTACCTAGCGAGCTTGATTGAATGGATGGCAGGACAAGGTTTAGGAAGGATAAGAAAAAAAAAATTAAGAACTACAAATAACAGGAAATTGTGGAGGGCCATGATCACCAACGAACTGAAGGGACACATAAAATAAGAATAAGAGTTTGGGTGGTGTAATGGTTAGCGGTTTGGAATGAGGACACATAGAGCTGAGTTTGAATTCCACTCGAGTTCATTGCATTTACTTTCGCACAGATAACCTTAGGTAATGCATGAATCAATCTCTTATCTCCCTCTCCATTGGTTAAATAGAAGAGTTGACTAGACTTTCAGTTGCGGTTGGTAATCAAGTTTCGGAATTCAAAACCGGGGTTAGCTTGGAGATAGAAACTCTATCCCGTAAAAACCTAGTACTTGCTAAGGAAACTGCAGCAACAATGCTTAGGATACTGGGAGTTGAAGTCTATACTCCTCAGAGAGTCTACGTGATCTGAGTAAGGAAGTAAGAGTCATCGTGTGCTGGCGAGTCGAGTACGAATTCCAGGCTAGTCTGTTGTGTTCATTTCGCACAAATGCCCTTGGGAAAGGTACGAATCCCTTTTCTGCCCCACCGGCTATGGATTAAATAGCAGAGTAGAGGGGACTCTTGGGTGGTGACTAATCTGGGAGAATGATTACTCTGGATTCAAAACTGCCGAAAAGGAACTGGAAATCATTCTACTATCTTTCCCAAGAAGATATAGCGGATAATAAGGTAATAGGAAGTTGTGGAGAACTATGATCACATACATCTTGAAGGAACAGCATTTTAAAAAATATCCAGTAATGATTAACAGCATGAAAAATTAAATTGACGAACGGAGTTCAAATTTCATCTAAAGCAGTGTGTTTACTTCGTACTAGTGCCCTCGGAAAAAAAAACCGATTCTGTACCTTATTTTCTTAGATATGGGTTAAACAGCATGGCATACATAAGGCTCTGTAAACCTTGTTTGATAACCAGTCTAGGAGAAGAAAATCTCTAAATTCAAAAACCGCACAGAAAGCAACGGCAAACCACTTCAATATTTTTACCAAGAGCAGTCAAAAGGAAACTGAGGAGAGCCATAATCAAGTACATCCTAAAGTTTTATGGCATTTAAAGTGCTGATTAATGGACTTCTTTGAATTTGATGCATAAAGGTCATTTCTTTCATCTAATTGTTATTCATCTGTTGTTTTCATCGAAATCTCAAACTGGATGCACGGTGGAGTAATTGATAGCGGCTCGCATTGAGGAATCGGAGAGCCGAGTTCGAATTCTAGTCGAATCCATTACAGTCACTAATTGGGAAAGGTATGAATCCTTCTATTTTCCCACCAGCTATGGGTAAATAGCAGGGCAGACCGTGTTCTATAGCTTTGGATGGCAATCTAGTGCGGGAAAAATCTGCCTCGTCAGATACATGATCGCCTAAACGTGTATCACGCATCTCTATCTATAAAAGGCAGGATGTGTGTGTGTGTGTGTGTGTAATGAATGTACGGCCGCAATTTTCGACGGATTTGCACCAAAATTTACATGCACATGCACATGCAGGAAGGCCAACACCGACCTTGCATTTCCCAACTCCCATCGATAGTGGAAATAATCGATTTTTTCATACGTCTACAGCAGTTTTCATGTAGTTTGCGGCCATTTTCTACTGGCCAGAGAGCCTATAGCTGTCTGCCATGAATAGGCAGGAAGATTCTATTGGCCAGCGTGAGAGCCAACAGCTGACTGACACGAATGTTAACTAGCATGCTAGCATACAAAAAAAAATCGATAGCTGCATTTGTCACAAGTGGGAAAAATTTAAATCTGCATGGCACTTTACTCCAATTGGCTCATTTGCTTCCTTAAACTCAACGTTGATTCTGATTCCGCAGAACTGGGTTGGGTGTGAAAAAGTATTTGTTGTTAACATTCTTTTTTCATTCGGTTTTTCCAGTTACAAGTCCTTTTTTAAAGCTGATCGTTTTGTGTTCATTTTGTTTTGTTCTTTTTTCGTAACAGATTTAATGTTTAGTATAGAGCTTAGAAAAAATTCGCAGTGTGAGACAGGCAAGAAGTAAGGCAACATCAGCACGGCAAAAGGCACTCCTTTAAAGGCAAGAAAGGACAAAAATATAGTCAAATGATAGCGATTGCTGTATGAGTCGTACGATTTTTGAATCAAGAACGGGCATCGCCGGGCCATGCTGCTAGTGGTACATAACTGACTGAGTCTGGATGTCCATGACTTCTGAACACTGCATTCGATCCTCACTAGTTGTGCCTACGTCAAATAACCCAAAATGGTCTGATATGTAAAGAATGTTTACCCATGCTCCCACTCACATAGAATGTAACATGAAATCGAAGTTTGAAGTGGGATTTCGGTTTGCCGTCCAAAACATGCCAAAAGTTTCTCACCTCTTCCCGCTTTTGGGGAAACCTGAAGCGCTGGGCAATAACTCTAGTCCATTACTGAAGGACTAGTGTCCAACATTTCAAGTACATCTTGATACATATTCACTGTAAACAGTGCCGGCTACGCAATACAGGGTGCGATGGATAAATTGTCATCTAAATTACGCAAACATGAAAATAATGCTGACATTTCATTTTAACAGATATATTTACCAAAATGACACAAAAATATCTTGAAATAATAAAGAGTAAATTTATTCATTAAAACCGTCATTAGCTTCAACGACGGCCTCCAGACGACTTCGAAATCTCCTGCAACTCTTCTGGATGGTCTCCTTGTTTAAGTTGATGAATGCTGTCATAACCCTTGCCTTCAGTTCATCGTTTGTGTTACAAGGAGTTTTGTTAGTCTCTCGTACAGCTTCGCCCCATACATAATGCCAAAGAGAGTTACAGTCTAGGGATGTTGGGCCGAAGAATTTGTCTGACAGCCATGAATGGGGTCTCCTGCTTGTGTGGCTTGGTGCAGAAACATTTTGCCAGACATATGTTCTTCCAGTAGCCACCCTCTTGACCTAGCGAAGGACTACCTCCTCATGACAATTGATGTAGGCTTCCGAGTTGCGTCTGAGACCCTGTGAAAAGATAAATGGAGGCATAACGTCGCTATCACTAATAATCGCTTCAAACACCTTCGTAATCACCATTAGACTCATCCAACTCTTTCCGAATACTCTGCACTGACCTCAGATTGACACTCAAACACACTGAAATATTCGGGTTGGAACTTCCGGTGCGAATGCAAAGCAATGCCACATTTCAACATTTCTAGTGGAGGGAATTGCGTCATGGTGCTCTTTTTCCCACAGACGGTGCCCAACTGACAATGTTATACTGTGCAGTATTGTAGGGTCAGCAGCAAAACAACGTGCCTGTGTGAAATTAAAAGTATAACAGAGCGACAATTTACCCATCGCGCTCTGTACATAAATTCAATCACAATAACGTCTCACCGTCGATTGAATATTTATGCAGGACACTATCTATTCATACATCCTACGAACAATCTGCTGGTTTCCGAAATATTCACACTGGATGAATATTTTCCAAAAAGATCTATCTATCTATCTATCTATCTATCTATCTATCTATCTCGATCTGTTCAAATCTGTCATGGGTCCTTACCTACAACTACAGAATGAACTCTTCCTAACACTATGCATCAAGAGAGAGGGACGAATCAAGCCGAGCTTCTCGGCTTGACGATCGAACTCTCTGCCTCTGAGCAGAGAAGGACCCGGACGAGGCTCCGCTGAAGGGCAGAGTCTCGTTCGGGGAGGTTGACCAACCCGATCCCGTTTATACAGGTTCTGCGGGCATTTTTTGGCCGAGCCTACGAGCTCGGGAAACCCACGTTAAATTCGGCCTTGTGCCACATGCAACCCTCGTGGGGGGGGGGGGCTAAATACCGAATCGAGTCGAGCCGTTTCGGCTTGACGGTCGAACTCTCTGCCTCTGAGCAGAAAGGAACCCGGACGAGGCTCCGCCGAAGGGCAGAGTCTCTTTCGAGGAGGTTGACCAACCCGATTCTGTTTTTACAGTTTCTACGGGCATTTTTTTGGCCAAGCCTACGGGCTCGGAAAACCCACGTAAAACATCTTTCCCTCGTGGGAGGGGGGGGGGGCAAGTAAATATCGAATCGAGTCGAGCCGATAGTTCACTCCAAACCAGACTGATAGTCATACTATCACCTTCCACATCTTGTATTATTATTTCGTGTAATATACCTTCGTTATTTCTACTCTTGTGTTCGTGTTGTTCTTCCTTGGTCCTAACCTGGACCATAACACTATCTATTATTATTATTTTTATCATTATTACGAGTACAACTATGACTACTTCTTCAAACATTATTTTTAGTGGATTTTAGTATTTGAATAGAGGCTCCGCTTTTAATTTTTAAACTGTATTTTTTTTTTTATTCTAAACACTATTTATTTTGTATATCGGCCTGCACACTCGAGAAAACATATAAAAGAATATTGCGCTCTGGCTGGATTCGAAGCTACGTTCCCCGTTTCAGATGAAACCAGCGTCTGATTCGTCGTGCTTTAACCACTAGGCTACAAAGAGCTTCACAATCAAGCAAGGTTCTACGCATCGTTCTAGTTGTGAGTCAGATTTTGTTGAATGTTGACATTTTGTCCACGAATGAATGCCTTAAAGATGTAAGGACGAAAAGTTCCACTTTCACCATTTTCACCTCTACGAATTTCGGAAAGGGGTAAACGTCGTAAATGCGACAAAAAAGATACTTCTTTTTTTTTAAATCATTATTATTATTCGAAAATTATGACATAAATATGTTATAAAATCACTACAAAAATAACCATTTTGTTTCAACACTTCTGGTGCCTTATCAAGTGATGGTGTTGAATGTCACATCAATAAAGTTAAGCAATGTCGATCCTGGTCAGTAAGTAGATGGATAATTGCTCGGAATTCGAAGTCTGATCCGTCGTGCTTTAACCACTAGGCTACGAAGAGCTTCACAATCAAGCAAGGTTCTACCAGATCCTAGCAAAATGAACTCGACTGGAATTGGAAATCCGATGATTTCCAATTCCAGTCGAGTTCGCTATATTCACTTACAGGCAAATACGCTTGGTAAGGATATGAATCTATCCCCCCAGTTATGGATTAATTAGTAGAACTTATCACAGTAAATCATTTTCTCCAAAAAATATTTCTGCCTTTAAATAATCTGTAAAAAGTTGATAATTCGTATAAATAAAAACAAATTAATCAACCAATCCATCACACATGCGCGGTAAGGTGCCCTCTGATTATTTGTCAATTGATATCGAATCCGCACAACCGGTTCTTTTATCTTAGTCTTGCACACGGCCATAAATGCAGGTTAATCAGATGAGGATCGAACGTGCAGCAGAAAATAATTATCTTCAAGGCTGGTCGGCTAAACGGTGAGATGACCTAAGGTTACACATTCATATACACCATTTGTAGTTGATGTGAAATGCCGCCTTATGCTGTACTGAACGCCCTTTGCGATAAAAGTACTCATTCGCTATATTTTGCGCATGCGATCTAAATCGCTTTTCGGAAAGGATTGTTTAGTAAACTATGCGCGTCGCTGACGTAGGGCAAATGATGCAAAATGGCCGAAGAGTTCCTCTTTTTGTTTATTCTTTCTAGTTTTCTTCTGATATGCTTCATTTTACTGATCTTGTTTTTCTATACAACACTTTCTGTCTTTTTCTTCATCGTGTCTACTTTCATTTCATTGAATTCTTTTTCTTCTTTTTCTCTGTCTTCTGCTTTCTACTTTTCCTTTTTTTTTAATGATATCATCAATATTATTTTCTGATTTATTCCTCAATTTCTTCCTTTCTTTCATTTTCTTTCTTCCTTTCTTCGTCTAATTTGGTTTATTCTGTTTCATTTCCAAGCCATACAGTTTTCTTTTCTTTTCTTTTATTTATATTTCTAATTTTTTTATTTCATTAGTTCCTCGGCTTTTCTTTCCTTGTCGTCTCTCCTTGCCGTCTTTCTTTCTTTCTTTCTTTCTTTCTTTCTTTCTTTCTTTCTTTCTCGTCTGATTTATTGCTTGTTTCTTTATTCTTCCTCCATCTAGTTTTCTTCTCTTTTCTATCTTTTGCTTATATTTTTTCATTAATTCCTCACTTTCTTTCTTTCTTTTTTTTTTCTTTTTTTCTTTCTTTCTTTCTTCATTGCGTCTAAATTTATTTAGTGTCTTTTATGTAAATCTTCACTTTTTTTACTTACACTTATAAACGTATGCTTCTTTTTTTATTCATTTCTCACTCTTTCTTGCTTTCATTCTTTTTCTTTCTTTCTTTTTCTTTCTTTCTTTTTCTTTCTTTCTTTCTTTATCGCTCCAACTTTCTACTTCATTCTATTTTTCCTTTCTGTTACTTAATCTTTCAATATTCTTTTTCATTCATTCGCCAATTGTCCTTCCTTCCTTCCTTCCTTCCTTCCTTCCTTCCTTCCTTCCTTCCTTCCTTCCTTCCTTCCTTCCTTCGTCAGTATTTCTTTAATAGAAACCGTGTCCTTTTATCTCTGTCGCTTTTTTCTTTCCTTTTCCACACTTACATAAAATTAAAACCAACCTCCCAAATTGCGACATATTAGATCTTAACCGAACCCCCCTCATTTTTTTTACAAACACTTATCAGCTCCCCAATTTCTTTCCCGCCATTCTTTCTTTCAGTCTCCCATCTCTTCTCGCCAACTTCAGACATCCTCACCGTGTTTACAAACCCATCTTTACTTATCGCTCCTCACTCTTCGCATAAATACTGACTTGTCAACATCAACTTGCAGTTTACACAGAACTCTATATATTTCCACTGACACTACAAATGAACGTTCGTGCGGCCGGGGCGTATTTTGTAAACATAAAAATCAGTGCAATTTCACCCCTTCAACCAATCTTCACCACAAACGCCTATTTTATCATTGCCTCCTTCTCCATCATGTGCAAACTTACTTAACCTGTCGTCGGAGAATTAAAAATGCGAAATATTTTTTCGCGCCAAGTTCAAGCCATAAATTAGATGTGCTTTCTTTCTTTCTTTGAATCTCTCTCTCTCTCTCTCTCTCTTTATATATATATATATATATATATATATATATATATATATATATTCTGTTAATATGTATCTATCTCATTCTGTTAATATCTATACCAATTTTTTAATATGAATCTATTTTAATTCTGTTAATATGTATATGTCAGTCTACTGACTTACGTGATTCTGTTAATATCTATCTATCTATCTATCTATCTATCTATCTATCTATCTCTCTCTCTCTCTCTATATATATATATATATATCGATCTCATTCTATGCATATCCGTCTCAGTTACTGTCTATCAATATTATTCTGTCAATATCTATCTATCTATCTATCTATCTAATTCTGTTAATATCTATCTCAGTCTTAATTATCTATCTAGTTCTATTTATATCTATCTACCTCTCTCTCTCTCTCTCTATATATATATATATATATATATATATATATTCAAATCTTTTAATATCTATTTCGTTCTCATCATATGTATGTATGTATGTATATATGTATCCAGGAATCTATCTATCTATCTATCTATCTATCTATCTATTTATCTATCTATCTATCTATCTATCTATCTATCTATATCGTTCTGTTAATATCTATCAATGTCATTCCGTTAATATCTATCAATATCCATCTATCAATGTCCATCTATCTATCTATCTATCTATCTATCTATCTATCTATCTATCTATATATATATATATATATATATATGTGTATATATATATCATACTTATTATAAAACCCAGGTTGTTTGCGTGCGTGTGTGTGTGTGTACGTTTATATATTGGATCGGATTTCCTACTTTTTTCAACCGATTTCAACAAAACTTCACAGGACTACGTAAAATTACCTTGCGGTGGTTCTGACAGCGCCAAACATTGGAAAAACACAATTGTTTTTGCACGAAATCAATTTGTAAACACGATTAAGAGGCATCGCGAGAATAAAAGGGAGACAACTCATATCGAGTTATACTTATTATAAAACCCAGGTTGTTTGTGTGTGTGCGTGTTCGTTTATATATGTGATCGGATTTCCTACATTTTTCAACCAATTTCAACAAAACTTCACTTTTTTTTGGCAGGTAGTGTTTCTTATTGTCTTGCACACTTTTTTCTTTATTTTTACATTCAGAATGCTTTAAAAATTCAATTTACAAGACAATTGTTTATAATAAAATTCTATTCAATCGGTAGACTCATAACGATTGAAAACAATGTTTTTGTTTGAGTTTGGGTTTGACCAATTCGTAAAAAGAACAAAACAAAACAAAACAAAAACTAATTAAGACATGCATGTCCGTCAACCTTAAACAATAATCTTTGTCAATTTTATTTTTCAGTCTTTATGATGGTCGATACTTGATCTATCCCTTACTGTTACATCCCCGGGCAACGCCGGGCTCTACTGCTAGTATATATATATATATATATATATATATATATATATATATATATATATATATATTATTATTATTATTATTGTTTTTAACTGTAGCTGTAACGGTTTGAACTGATGGAGCTAGGATATTTAACTCGCCACATTATTTATAAGCGATAGAGTAACAATAGACTTGTGATGCCTCGCCCGCGGGAAAGGAGTTTTAGGATGGGAAATAATTCATCACCCACAAGAACGCATAAAATCTTTTGAATTCTGTCATGACTCGAAAGTGAAAATTGATCAGCTCTAGACCAAATATGACAGTAGCATCCCATTTTTTTGGTCTGATCTGATTCTTGTAAAGATAGAATATGCCAGGATGAGTCAGGTACTTTAGGAAGTGGTACAGTACGCTTATGGATATAGATTTCTAGCGCTCCCAAAGATCAACAAAAACATACTGAAAACATTTTAGCTTTATTTCCGTCTTCAAAATATACCAATAAAAATATCTCAACTGTTGCTTACTCTCCGTTATACACCCTATGCTGTGATCTAAATACCAAGGTCGTTACAGTTTTCAGGGTAGAAAAAGATTTTATTTGAACGACTCTCTAATTCACTTTTAAAAGCAAAACAACCGATTAATTATGGCAATCACAAAAGTCCAAGTTAGATATGAATAACAAAATACAGTTATTTGTCTCAATTTCATTTTAAACCAGGATCTGAAAAAAAAGGAATGTACCTATTAAACAAGAACTGATAAACTGTTATAAAAATAGCGATTTAGTAAGCGTAGCCCAAAGAACGAACTAAATACTTAATTAAGTTAGTGAGATAAGATTGCTAACCATTACACCAGGTCGAAGCGGCCATCTTTCTGTAAATATAAGAAACTTACTGTTATTGAAAAGCAATAGTAGTAATGGCTGGCCGCTCGTATCCTGGTATGCCTCTCTGCTAGGGTGGATGACCAATCTCTATCGCAGATGACTGCTCGGTCACATTTGTGTTTGTTCAACGCCCACAGAGCACCACCTGCGGTTTATACAGCAGCTATACTGAGTGGAACTTGGTTACAGTTTCTGGGAGAGAGCGCATTATCTGGCGTAGTCAACAGTCTGAACAAACCCTCGGTCACGATGGCTTGCGACTTCATGCTAGCTTAACCATCGACGGCTCCTAAATAGTTCCATCTACCGAATTTCACTCAGAAGGCTTGTGTCAACTCGTGGTATGGTTTTCCAAATGTGCCGCACGCTGGGATCGACTCTATCAGGCCGATAACATCAAAAAATGGTCCCAGAACGATAGCTTTTGAACGCCATTAGTATGATTTTTTAGTATTATTTAATAATATTTTAGTACTGTTTCGTTCTATTTTAGTACCATTTAAAATATTTAAAGTATTTAGTACTATTTTAGTACTATTTTTTAATATTATTGAGCACTATTTAAGTGCTATTTAGTACTATCTAAGTACTATTTTAGGATTTTAAGTATTTAAAGTATTGAGTATTTAGTACTATTTTAGTTCTATTTTTAGTACTATTTTAGTATTATTTTTGTACTATTTAGCACTATTTTAGTACTATAGTAGGATTTGAGGTATTTAAAGTATTTAGGACTAATTAGTAGTTTTAGTGCCGTTTTAGTATTTAAAGTATTTAATACTGTTTAGTACTATTTTAGTACTATTTACTGATTAGTAACCTTGGGAAATGTATGTATGAATCCTCTTCTCCTCCCCCAAGCTACGAGTAAATAGCAAGACAGACAAGGTTCTCATAGCTTTGGATGGCAACTGGTCTACTGCAGAAAGAAAATTTGATTCGTCAGTCATGTATCGAAAGATACATGATCGCCTAAGCGCGTATTATGCATGGCGCATAACTGACTATGTTTTGACGACACAAATTTTCATAATCTTTACGCGTGCATAAACACAATCACGAGCAACACGACTAAATTGATATCTTCTTCTTTTATATGTCATGTACTTTCAATGTGTAGCTGATGATGGCTCTCCACAACTTCCTGTTATTTTGTTTTTGTAAGTAACACTTGTTCCTTTACTAAGCCTTTTTCATCACTGTTCTTTCACCACTTCACTTCTCCGTTTATCTAGTAGTTTACACGATGTTTCTCCTTGATTTTCTTGCCTTCAGTATGTCGTATGAGTGTTAAATTCGGCAGGCCTTCCATCCTCATTATGTATACCATAAATTTCAGCTGTCTCTTTCTGATTGCTGACAACAGTTTCTGTGTAGTTCCGATTCTCCTTAAAGCATCCTCATTTCTCAAATGTTCTGTCCATGGTATTCTTAGAATTCACTGAAAGAATCACATTACCATCTCTTCCGATTTCTCTTTCATCTTTGAGGCAATTGCCAAACATTCACTGTCATACAGGAGATTTGAGATTCCATAGCAGTTCAGTAGTATTTTCTTTGTTTCTAAGGACATTTCAAATCTGTTAATACTTTGCTTAGCTTCTGAAAAACATCTTTTTCTATTTGTATTTTCTGTGTTGTACTATCCTTTACGGTGGAATAATGGATAGCGGCTCGGATTGAGGAATCGGAGTGCCGAGTTCGAATTCCAGTCGAATCCATTACATTCACTTACGTGCTGATACCCTTGGGAAAGGTATGAATCCTCCTCCTCTTCCCCCAGCTATGGGTAAATAGCAGGACAGACCGGGTTCTATAGCCTTGGATGGCAACTGGTCTACTGCAGAAAGAAATAGCAGCCTACTGCAGAAAAAAAACAATCTGCCTCGTCAGTCATGTATCAAAAGATACATGATCGCCTAAGCGTGTATCACGCATGGCACATAATTGACTGACATTACTAAGTTAGTTTAATTTCCTTCAGTTACTTGATTTTGACCACCCAATACGTAACTCCTTTTTTGGGGTGTCTCTTTTGCTAATGGCCAGGCGTTCTATCTTCTTACAGTTAGTCCTATCTTCATGCTTTCCTTTCCGAATACATCATGGCATTTCTAGTTTCTATGGGAAAGGAAAATAACATGTGACAGATGGAATTTGCTTACATGGTACCAGTCACTAGTAAAATATAGTGTTTCTCGTAATTTATTAAATGCGTTAATATCAAACAGTCTGCCGCAGATTTTCAACTGTTTTCGTTTTTTCTCATAACAATAAAATTTATCCCCAAGAGTCATTACTTCCTCAAAGCGAGGAAGCTTCTGTCAATTCAAGAATAGCATTTTCCCGCTTCAACTTTCTTCAATTAGAAATCGCATTTCCTTTTCTTTCTTCTTTTATTTATTATTTTTTGTATTTCTTTCTCACGTGAAAAGTAATTCAGGAAGTATTTGTCACCACCCAGACAGGTTAGTCATGTGACTTGTAACCGGCCAATCAGGAGTTTTCCGCTGTCAAAAGACTTGGCCAGCTCCGAGTGACATGTCTGATCAAAATGATGGTTGCGCTGTCGATAACAGAAAGTCAGCATTTAACATCTTCTTGGCCGATTGTAGAAGCTAAAAACCGGTTCAACAGCTCCAAGATTCTCGCCTATTTTATTTCTCTCTCCAAAACTTAACACTATCTTTCTTTCTTTTCTTCGTTCTTACTTTCTTTCTTCTTTTTTTTTTCTTTCTTTCTATCTTTCTTTCTAATCAGGTGTAGTTTCTTTCGAGAAGGTCCTACTTTGTTTTCTTTCTTATTTCTCTTTGTCTTTTTTTTTTCGTTAGGCTTTCTTATTGTTCCATTTAAAACTTGCTTTCGCTCTAGCTGTACTTTTCTTTCTTTCTTTTTCCTTTTTTTCTTTCTTTTTTCTTTCTTTCTTTCTTTCTTTCTTTTTCCTTTTTTTCTTTTTTCTTTCTTTCTTTCTTTCTTTTTCCTTTTTTTTTCTTTTTTTTCTTTTTTTTTCTTTCTTTCTTTCTTTTCCTTTTTTTTTCTTTCTTTTTTTCTTTCTTTCTTTCTTTCTTTCTTTCTTTTTCCTTTTTTCTTTCTTTTTTCTTTCTTTCTTTCTTTCTTTCTTTCTTTTTCCTTTTTTTCTTTCTTTTTTCTTTCTTTCTTTCTTTCTTTCTTTCTTTTTCCTTTTTTTCTTTCTTTTTTCTTTCTTTCTTTCTTTCTTTTTTTCTTTCTTTCTTTCTTTTTTCTTTTTCTTTTTTTTTTTCTTTCTTTCTTTCTTTTCTTTCTTTCTTTCTTTCTTTTTTTTTTTTTTTTTCTTTTTCTTTCTTTTCTTTCTTTCTTTCTTTCTTTTTCCTTTTTCTTTCTTTTTTCTTTCTTTCTTTCTTTCTTTCTTTTCCTTTTTTCTTTCTTTTTCTTTCTTTCTTTCTTTCTTTCTTTCTTTTCCTTTTTTCTTTCTTTTTTCTTTCTTTCTTTCTTTCTTTCTTTCTTTTTCCTTTTTTTCTTTCTTTCTTTCTTTTTCCTTTTTTCTTTCTTTTTTCTTTCTTTCTTTCTTTCTTTCTTTCTTTTTCTTTTTTTTTTCTTCTTTCTTTCTTTCTTTCTTTCTTTCTTTCTTTTTTCTTTTTTTTTTTCTTTTTTTTCTTTCTTTCTTTTCTTTCTTTCTTTCTTTCTTTTTTTTTTCTTTCTTTTTTTTTTTTTTTTTTCTTTCTTTCTTTCTTTCTTTCTTTCTTTTCCTGTCTTTCATTTCACTATACCATTATTTATTTATTTATCCCCCCACTACGCCTTGCTTTTCTTTAGCTATACCTTCCTTCGTTGCTTTCTCTTTCTTTCTTTCTTTCTTTCTTTTTTTCTTCGAGATATTTCTTTCTTTCCTCGTTCTTTCTTTATTTCCCTCTTCATTTTGCGTTTTCTTTAGCTGTACCTTTTATCTATATTTCTTTCTTTCTTTTTCTTTTTTCTTTCTTTCCTTACCACACTTTGAACATTACATTTTCTTTAGAAATACAATTCTTTCTTTCTTTTTTTCTTTCTTTCTTTCTTTTTCTTTCTTTCTTTCTTTCATACCGCTACACCCTGTTTATTCTTTAGCTAAACCTTGCTTTCTTTTTCTTTCTTTTTCTTTCTTTCTTTCTTTCTTTCTTTTTTCTTTCTTTCTTTCTTTCTTTTCAAGCCTTTTGTTTTCTTTAGTTACACCTATTTATATATTTATTTAAACTAAATTTCTTAACATTTTTTTCTGATTTAGATTGTGCTTTATAATCGTTTCTTTTCTTTAGTCTTTCCTTCTTCCCTTCCCTGTCTCTTCTGTTATCTTTACTCCTACTGCTCTTCATTTCTGTTTTTGGACTTCATTAACATTTTCTCAATATACTATTAATTTATATATATATATATATATATATATATATATATATATATAAACACAAGATATAAACAGAATGTAAGATTTTTATTCAAATAGAATGCTAAAACATGAAGCCACATATCATCGGCAAAACATAATATATATGCGTTATAAAGAAAATATAATAAATATGCGATATAAAGAAAATTATATATATGAATATAAAGGAACTTTTAAAAAAACAACAAAAATCAATGCACTTGTGTGCCGCCGAAAACTTTGTGATCACAATTTTGACCTGAAAAGCACCGTTTTAATAAAAAGTAAATATAATCTACTCGGAATAAGATGAATTAAATGTTCCCTGGTTTATTATATCCTGTTCTTAGTAAAGTAATACTGAAACAAGAGGGGTGGAAACCTCTAATAAAATAAATAAATAAAAATTGAAGATAAACAATCCAAAATTTAAAAAAAAAACATGAACTGAAATTAGTTTAAGTCTAAAATCTAATTTCTATAACAACACTGTATTTTCTAAGGAATAAATCTATCCCACTTAAAGACATCATTTTTTTTTTATTACTCTAGCATATTAAAGAAGAACTTGTAAAATCTGATACTCACAGGGCGGATAGCGGGCAAGAGAGACAGGGGAAAACAACACGTGACATATCTAGAGGGTTTAAACAAGTGGATGAGAGATCAAGGTTTGGGAGAAGTAGCAAAAAAACAAAACATATCGAGAACTACAAGGAATAGGAGAAAGTGGAGAGCCATGATCGCTTACGTCCTGAAGGGACACAGCACAAAAAAGAAGAAAGAAAGAAACAAGAAGCAAATTACTCAGAGAGATCGTTTTTTTTATTAAGTCTCTCGAATGCCCGATAGATGTAATTCACACAAAACAGAACATGGCGTCTTCTCAAATATACGTATCCAGTAAAATAACGTTTAGATTAATAAATGACAATGCACTAAAAGCAAAAAAAAAAAAAAAAAATCAAGTGTTCAAACACTTAAAACTTACGTCCCGGTAATATACAGAGTATAATATTTGGCCACTTCTATACTAGGGTGTCTAGTCAATCCCTAATTCAGGCATATTTGTGTTTGCTCAATACCCACAGAGCCCACCTGTGGTTTATACTGCAACTTAGTTACAGAGAGAGCGTGTTTTCTAGCGTGATCAACAATCTAAACAAGGCCAACACACTTGTGACTTCGTCTTAGTACAGCTGCTGCCTAATTTCACTCACAAGGCCTGGGTCAAGCACATCTCCCTTCAGGCGGATAACACCAGGAAGTCTCCTTTCTGACAAATCAACCGTGCTGAGATTCGAACCCGGGTCTCATAGTCAGAAAGCGAACGTTCTAACCACTCGGCCACGCGTCCATTGATATGCACCCCTTTTTTCGAACTGAAGACGTCGAGCAATTGAGTGGCCATCATTATCACCAGACTTAACACTCCGAAACATTTCCTTGTGGGGTGTAATCTAAAACAGCTTGTTTACAGGCTCATGCCGAAAACAATTTCTGATTTAAAACAAGATAGATTTTCTTAAATAATATAGAAATGTGTCAAATGGTTTATGGAAATGTCGCTGATAGGGTTCAGCGTTGTATTGAACATGAAGGGGAGTATTTTGAACATAATAAATAGTTTTGTTAATCATAACAGATCATGTTTGTTTTCATGTGACAATACTATACAATTTCTTAAACTAGTGTGATTTATTTTTCTTCAATAAAACTTAATAAATAAAAAGAGCGTTACTTTTGACACACCCAGTACATTTTTTAAAATAAACTTGTTTTTTTTTTTTTGTTTTTTTTTGTTTTTTTGATGATGTCGTATTTTAGAAAAATCGGTCATTAATTTTACTCAAATGCCAAGCAAAAAAATAATTTAAACTAATTCCAAAAGTGCAATACAGAAATCCCTCTGTTAGTGCGCACAATGTGTACATCGGTAACTATAAATTAGTTTTCAATTACTATGGTTAAACAGAAGAATGTTTTACCACATTAATGGAGTATTATGTATGCACTGATTGAACTTTGGTATATGAAAAAATTAGCGCATTAATCGAAAACGCATTAATCGAGGGATTCCTGTATTTACAGTTAGCAATAATAAAGCCGGTCCGTTGTTACAGAGGCTCTAATTTAAGAAATACCTCTGGACAGATCAAAAATCCCGACGCATGAATAAAACTGTAAAATAAAAGGAGAAAAAAAGACATTAATAATAGTTGGCCACTCGTATTCGAGGATACCCATCTACTAGGTCAGCTAGCCAGTCCCTATCGCAGACTCTCGCTCAGGCACATTTATGGTTATTCAATACCCACAGAGCCCACCTATGGTTTATACAGCAACTATGCTGAGCAGACTTTAGTTACAGTTTCTGGGAAAGAGCGTGTTATCTAGCGTGATCAACAATCTGAACAAAGCCAACACACTCAAACCCTCGGACTTCGTGCTAGCACAACTATCGACGGTCCCCGAATTTCACTCACAGGGATTGGGTCAACACGTGGTATGGTTTGCAGGCACTTGCAAAGGTGCCGCATCGTTCTGACTGATAACATCAGGAAGTCCTGACAGATTGACCGTGGTGAGATTGGAACCTGCGTCTCATGGTCAGAAAGCGAACGTTGTAACCACTCGGCCATGCGCCCATATATAAAATGCCTTAATACTTATTTAGCTACGTCATTCATGGCGATACCTCGACTTGACAGTTATAGATATATCGAACCTTGTTGTAGTATATTTTTCACCACTAACCGAAGAACAAAGATGGCATTATGTGAGGGTGGAAATATTCAAACTGATACTGCAATGTCTTAAATAATAAATTTTATCTCTCTGACTTTTAGTGTAAAAAATGTGTTTAATATTTAAATCCGTTAGAAGACATTTGTGCAAATCATAAACAAGTCTTTGGGACACTTCGACGTTATGTAATGGTTAACATACTTGTCTCGCTTAAAAGAATTAAGACTGAGTAGTGAGTTCATTCCTCACTGGGTGCCCGATATTTTCAGCCTTGAGCCACATCTAAGCTACGTTTAAGAAATTGCCAGAAAAAATGTTTTGGGCACTTCGACGTGGTTTAATGGTTAACAAGCTTGACACGCTACGACTGAATAGTGAGTTTGATCCGCTTAATATATCATTGACCACTTTGGCGTGGTGTAATGGTTAACAAGCTTGTCTTGCTAGATCAATTACGACTGTGTAGTCAATTCGATCCTCACTGGATGCTCCTTAATCTCGGCCTTGTTCCACATCTGGGTCTGCCATCCTATCGGTCTTGTGCCACATCTAAGCTACGTTTAGGAAATTGCCATAAACAAGTGTTTTGGGACACTTCGACGTGGTGTAATGCTTAACAAGCTTGTCACGCTAGATTGATTACGACTAGAGTTTGATCCTCACTGGGTGCCCCACACTTTCGGCCTTGTGACACATCTAAACTACGCTTAGAATATCGTCCTTGTGCCACATCTGGGCGCCCCGCACTATCGGCATTAGGCCACATCTAAGCTACGCTTAGAAACTCACCATTGGGTACTTCGACGTGGTGTAATAGCAAGTTTGCCTCGCTTGATCAATTACGATTGAATAGTAAGTTCGATTTTCACTGGGTGCTCCTTAATCTTGGCCTTGTGCCAGAGATAAACTACGCTTAGAAAATCACCATGAATATGCATTATCTGTTAGTGAGTGGTTATGTCCCTTTGTATCTGCGTAAGTTTGTCTCTGTCCATCACTTTCCCAGCAGTAAAAAAAAAGGTGTCCAAATCTGTACTCATTTGAGCTCAATTTGCACTCGGGGGCGCCATTATTTCATTCAAGCGACCGCCATCTTGACAAATGGCTGACAGATAATTGCCCGAATAAAGAAAGTCGAAATCCAGAAACAAGAGTCCCTCACACGGAGGAAACCGAATGTTTGTTTCTTTATATATATATATATATATATATATATTCCCCCTTTTTATATTCCGCCTTCATCGATGTCAGGTAAATGTTTTCTAATCCGAGTTCCCCTGGTCACCACCCACCTGGCCACTTCTATCAACCTAAATCTCTTTTCCCAAATGCTCGTTTCCCACTTCTCGCTCTTTCTTAGAGCTGTTATTTTCTTTTGATGCACTTGAAACTCACCTCGGTCAGTAAGTCTTGTCGTTGTAACTTGGTGTATATTTTCATTCGTCTGTCAATCTAATAACGCTCCCACTCAGTCACTCGTTCTCGGCCTCTCTCTCTCTCTCTCTCTCTCCTTTCCACTTATTACTAACATACACACGCGCCTGCGCACAAACCACCCTTTTCGCTTTCTTTCTCTATCACTCGTCTTTTCTCTCCCATTTTTTTACAGTGTCTCTCTCAACTCATACGTCCTTTCCAACTAACTTTTCGATCTTACTCTCTCTGTTGTTAATTAATGCCCCCTTCTTTCCCTCTTTCTTTCTTAGTCCCACATCCCCTCAATCGATATAGCTTAGATGTGGCACAAGGCCGAAGGTATGGGGCACCCAGTGAGGATCGAACTCATTACTCAGTCGTAATTGATCTAGCAAGATAAGCTTTCTAACCATTACACCACGTCGAGCTGCCCCTCTCAATCAATATATCTCTCACTCATTTATTCTCTCTTTCTCTCTTTTTCTTTATTTCATACTGGTTATTTCTTTCTCTGTCTCTATCTATCTTTCTTTCTCTCTCTCACCCCCCTCTCTCTCTCTCTCTCTCTTGATTTTTTTCTCTTGCTTCTCAATCTTTCTTTCTTTCTTCTCTCTCTCTACCCCTCTCTCTTCTGTCACTCTTCACCTTCTCTTTTTCTCTCTGTATTTCTCACCTTCTCTCTGATCGCATCCATTTCTCCCTTTTCCACCCAAACTCTTTCATTCTCCTCTTCTATTCACTATTGAATAATTATGGCCAAAGACTCATTCCAAAAGCTAGGCAGAGTATTGCGATACAGGAGCATTTCGTTGGTAGCAAAGAAAAGAATACAGACTTCATATCTGTCCTCCTTCAAGGCAGCGAATGTCGGACGGTCTCCTCAAAGATGAAGAAGAGACTCGAGGCAACAGAGGTATTGTTCTACAGAAAGATTCTACGGATACCATGTACCGAACATGTGAGCAATTATAAGCTTTTGGAGAGGATGCAAACAAAGAGGAAGCTTATACTTAGCACCAGGAAGAGGCAGCAGAAATTTCTGGGATACGTAATGAGAAAGGAAGGCTTAGCAAATCTGATACTCACAGGGCGGATAGAGGAAAAGAGGGACAAGGGAAAGTAACGTGTGACATACTTAGCGGGCTTAAGCAAGTGGACGCCAGAACAGGGTTTGGGAGAAGTAGCAATAAGACAAAACTTATACTGAGAACTACAAGAGATTAGAGGATGTGGAGAGCCGTGATCGCCTACGACTTGAAAGGACACGACAAATAAAAGAAAACGATTTATTCATTTTAAAGTAAAAATATTCCTACGACGCCACCAAAGGCGTCCACTACATAGCGGTGGACAATTCACACTTATATAATGGCCTTTTCTGATGGTAAAGAAAAATGTTACATACACACACAATATATATATATATATATATATATATATATATATATATATATATATGTATATGTATATATATATATCCTTCGCGCAGAATTCTTCACTGCCAATTCAAGAAAAGACATTTGGATTACTAACACAAAAAACAGAGAATATCTCATATCGAGAATAATTAAAAATTGAAAAACATAAGGAAAAAATTAATTATTTTTCATAATATGTGAAATCTCCGCTTTTTACCTGAAGACGGTCAAAAGACCAGAAACACGTGTAGGAAAATTATGGAAAATAAATCATAGTATTTTTTAAAGAAATCCACATTACAACCAAAAACGTTTGCAGCACCTCTCTTCTCTTCTTTTATATATATATATATATATATATATATATATATATATATATATATATATATATATATATGTATGTGTGTGTCTGCGTGCGTGTGTGTCTGGGTGCATGTGTGTGTATGTGTGTGCTTAAAAACATATCAGAGTGACGGCGCCTTGCTCAGGAGGGAATGAAATATTTTCTGGTATAAAAGGGACCCCTGTAACACGAGGGTCATTTCTGATACAGAATTTGTCCCCAAAAATATATTTCCCCATTATGCAGTCGGGTTCAGATCAGAGCAGATCCGTCCTGAGTATGACGATAAACTAAATCCGGCAGTAAGGGTGGTTCTAGCTATGGGGAATTAGTGAACCGCCAAACTAAAATAAAAAAAGAACAAAAATATATTTTTATAATAAAAATGCCAGCAGTACATTTTTATAAAATTATTACCAACAGAACATTTTATAGTGAAATTACCAGCAATACATTTTAATGAAAAAAATTACCCAACAATACATTTTATAATGAAATTACCAGCAATACATTTTTATGAAAAAAATTGCCCAACAATACATTTTATAGTGAAATTACGAGCAATATATTTTTATTAAAAAACTTGCATAATACATTTTATAGTAAAATTACCAGCAATACATATTTTTTTTTAAAAATTACCCAACAATACATTTTATAGTGAAATTACCAGCAATATATTTTTATTAAAAAAATTGCCCAACAATACATTTTATAGTGAAATTACCAGCAATATATTTTTATGAAAAAAATTGCCCAACAATACATTTTGTAGTGAAATTACCAGCAATATATTTTCATTAAAAAAATTGCCCAACAATACATTTTATAGTGAAATTACAAGCAATATATTTTTATGAAAAAAATTGCCCAACAATACATTTTATAGTGAAATTACCAGCAATACATTTTTATGAAAAAAATTGCCCAACAATACATTTTATAGAGAAATTACCAGCAATATATTTTTATGAAAAAAATTGCCCAACAATACATTTTATAGTGAAATTACCAGCAATACATTTTTATGAAAAAAATTGCCCAACAATACATTTTATAGTGAAATGATCAACAATAAATTTTTTTTTGTAACAACAAATTATTTTATAATAGATTTGGTTTGGTTTGTTTTGAGTTGTTTTACGGCATATCAACCTGAACCTGATTTTATAATCAAACACGTTATATATATATATATATATATATATATATATATATATATATATATATATATATATATATATATATATTTAATAATTTATTTTAAAAAAACGACTTGACACTATGCGATATCTTAAAAAACTCCGACACGATTCCTACCGACGCGTGAAGACGCAAAAAACCATCAAGACAAAACATCACTACAGAATAAACCCTATCAAACAACATAAATCTTGCTGAGATCTTATCAAAAGCTGAAATTACGCAGAAGACATTAGACAATTTATTATCAAAATGCGCTCAGGAATATAGCATACCTTAAAACTATACTTTTATCTCATATATATATATATATATATATATATATATATATATATATATATATATATATATATATATATTTTAAGTTATGAAGAACTTGGTAATCCGTATGGGTAATCCCAAGGAGGATGAAATCCTGAGAGCTCAATTTTAAATCCAGAGCTAATATTTTAAAGAAAAACAGACCACTTTAAGGTACCATTACGATAATTTATTTCACCAGAGCGCTTTTAAAAGGACGCCGGATCATCAGGTAGCACTTCCAAAAATGAAATGAAACGAAAAATGAAATTAAAATTGATGTGTAGTGTAAGATTTTGTAATTTAACAGGGGTGAGAGGGATAATTAAAGAGACATGGTAGAGTATAGGGAGGGGTTAATTTCATATCTCTCTCAAGTGTACTTTATATTGGGGTAGGAGGAGTGATCAGACCATGATCTATTTAGATGGTTAAATTAACGGAAATGATATATAGAAATGGGAGGGGAGTAGGAGAAAAGAAATATATATATATATATATATATATATATATATATATATATATATTTATACTGTTTATACGTTATATTTATGGATAAACTTATTTGCATAAATGCTCTGTTTTAATTAAGCAGTATTACATTTACTGACCTGAATGTTCAAGAAATTTTTTAGAAAATATTGATTCTCCGGCAGGAATCGAACCTGTATCCCATAAGGAAAATGTCATATAACCTGACGTGCTACAGAGAACTATCCGGTTGACAAAGTCCAAGTAACTGCTTAAAAACTTATTTTCTACGAAATTTATGGAACTTTCAGGCCGCTAAATGTAACTGATACTGCTCAATTAAAACAGAGAATTTATTCAAATAAGTTGTATCCATAAAAGTAACGTATAAACAAAAAATTATATTCGTCAGATTTAACCCATTATATATATATATATATATATATATATATATATATATATATATATATATATATATATATATATATATATATATATATAAAAGAAAGAAAGAAAGAAAGAACAGTAAGATATATAATCCGGTGTTCTGATAGATATTTTTATTTTTACAAAATAGTGCTCAATGTAAATTTACTGAGCATTAATATTATAAATTGATTTATTTAAAATATAGCGAAAAAAAAACATATTTTAAATAAATCAACATATATATATATATATATATATATATATATATATATATATATATAGTTTATGAAAAAACTAGGTAATCCGTATGGGTAAACCCAAGGAGGATAAAATCCAGAGAGCTCAATGTAAATCCAGAGCAAATAATGTCAATAAAAACAGACCACTTTAAGGTTCCATGTAATAAATTATTTCACCACAGCCCTTTTAAAAGGAATGGGTACAGCTCGTTTAAAAGATGCCTACTTACTGTTTAAAGACAATAAACCTAAACGTTTAAATGTGTCAATATCTGCTAACTCGCTCTTGTCTTCTCTTTCCCCCCATCACTTCCTCACTTCGTTAATTTACATATGTTTAATACGACCCGTCAAAAATGTGCAAATTTTCTTTTCATTTTTTGTTTGGAAGTAAAGTCTGATGAACCGCAGTCCTTTTAAAAGGGCTGTGGTGAAATAATTTATTACATAGAACCTTAAAGTGGTCTTTTTTTTATTTAATATATATATATATATATATATATATATATATATATATATATATAACATAATAATTCATTGAGTCTAGAATAAGAAACCTCAGCAGAATGCAGAAAACTCTGTACGGCCGTTTCGTCCTTATTGAGGCTCATCAGCAGTGCGCATCCACTACCGAGAATCGAACCCGGACTCTTACAATACAACGCTAGTGTCATACCACTGGGTCAGCGGTAACGAAGAGGAAACTAACTAGACTCAATATAGCGCCGCTACTCCTAATTCCGGTGGGGGATACTGATCCAAGTATACATAACCCACCAGAACCGGCCTCAAGAGTTACATCTTCTTTCACCAAGCCGCTAAATCCAGAGCATTAAACCTACATCAAACATCGGCTTATAGAGACAAAGATTGGAGATTTAACTAACTATACATAATAATTCATTTAATCTAGAATAAGAAAGCTGAACTGAAGGCAATGGACGGCCGTTTCGTCCTTTTTGGCACACATCAGCAGTGCGTATCCACTACCGAGATTCGAACCTGGACCATTACAATACAACACAAGCAACATACCACTGGTAATGAAGAAGAACCTAACTAGACTCAATATAGCGCAGCTACCCCTAATTCCGACGGTGATACTCATCCAAGCATACATAACCCATTGGAACCAGCACCAAGATTCTAGACTCAATGAATTATGATGTAAAATTAACTAAATCTATATAAACCTATGCTTGATCCTGGTTTAATTTGAGAGAGCGGCCTGGTGAAAGTAGACTTTGCTTATACGTTAAAATAGATAATTTTACGTATATCAAAAGTTACTATTTTTATACTACTAAACTTGAAAATACATTAGTTACCCCTAATACTAGTATCTTTATCACCAAGCCCAAGACATCGGGAAATATAATTAGGAAGGAAAGTAAATTCAACATCAATTCAAATGCCGGTACTTATCAAATCTTAAAGTGTAAAAAAATATATATATCGGGGAAACATCACGTGATCTAAAAGCCTGTATCTAAAAACACAAAAGAGATTTACGTTCAGGCAACTATTTAAACTCGCACGAAATACACAGGAACAAAACTGGCCATAACTTTAATTTGACTAACGCCAACCTAATTACAAAAATAAACAACAAAATTCTTTACGGGGAAAGTACATCTAAAGCTTAATAATAACAATATTGCCAACTATAAGCACATCAAAAACATCATATTAAATCACCAACCATTACTGACTCCATTCTTAAAGCATCTAACGTATGCCTATACAAAACAAACGGTATGTACGCAAAAACGTTCCTAAAACAACATGCGGAAAACAACAAACATAATGTATACTAGACACATACGCACATACACTTACGAATACACTCTATCAACTGACTCCCACATAGATAAACTATAATCTTTATCCACTTATATACATATAGTAATAGTTACAGTTTTTCAGATAGGCTTGGAATCCGTTAATTTCTTGCAAGTTCGGATGGACGCGTCTTCACATTGAATTCGGAACACTACAAATTCTACTAACGTTGATTTAAAGAGTCGAATGCATATGAAACATAACTGATCAATGCAAATCAAACAACACAAAAATAAAAATACCAGAATTTATTTCTTCTTTTACTCCACATCTCATTCTCTGATGAAGCTTTAATAAAAAATAAAATATGTTAGATCGATAAACATTTCGTATTTGTTCTTTATCTTATTATTCTGTCGGATTCCGAACTATATTTGATCTATATTTGATCCCTATATATATATATATATATATATATATATATATATATATATATATATATAGGGGTAGAATCCCTGATTCCAAATCGCTCGAGTTTCGATCTCAGCTTGAAGCAATCGGACGTCTAGCCCCACTGAAGAGCTGTGATACAGCGAAACAGTCATATATATATGCATGGATATTTTTATTAATTCAAACATTATTATAGAGAATATTTCGTAATTTAAAAGATGCCCCATTTATATTTATTAAACAGTATATATTATCCCTGCCAGTGAACACATTTTTAGCAAAATTCTGTTTAATAAATAAAAATGGGGAAACTCAGTAGATAATTCTTTAAACTTTCTATTTATTTATTTAATTATATATATATATATATATATATATATATATATATATATATATATATATAGTTTTGCCAGCAGGGGCAATGGACACCATGGAAAATGTTTGTATTCCCAAAAGGCAGAAAAAAAACGTGAGAACGATGGAAGAACGGTATAACAAATTAAATTTTTTCTTGTCTGTCATATTTAACTAAAGATATCTAAAAGAAAGATTACTGCCCATATATATATATATATATATATATATATATATATATATATATATATATAAATGTCATTTCTATCTATTATTTTGCTTAGTTCGTGTAGTAACTCTACAGGACTCTACAGGGACGACGGTCTCATATTCTTAAGAAACTGTAACAAACAAAACACAGACAAAACTAGAAAAGCAATAATAAAGATTTTTAAAAATAACGGATTCGACATAGATATAAAAACTAATCTAAATGAAGTAGATTTTCTGGATGTTACCTTCAACCTAAGAAAAGGCACATATAAACCATACAAAAAACCCAATGATAAACCACTCTATATACACACATCTTCCAACCTCCCACCTTCTATAATCAAATAGATACCAAAATCGATTAACGGCAGGCTTTCCGACAATTCCTCCATCGAATCCATATTTAACAAAGCTAAGAAAGACTACGAAACAGCCCTAAAAGATAGCGGATTCCCAACAACACTCATATACTCACCACAGAACACAAAAAAGCAAACAGGAAAAGAAATATCATATGGTTCAACCCACCGTACAGCAAACACGTAAAAACAAATGTATGAAAAATATTCTTCAAACTCTTACACAAACACTTCCCGGAATCAAACACCCTACACAAAATATTCAACAAAAACACAGTAAAAATCAGCTACAGTTGCCCCGAGAACATGGCACAAATAATAAAAAAGCACAACAGGAAAATTATCAACGAACCACACGAACAAATTAAACCCACGTGTAACTGCAAAATAAAGAACGAATGTCCCTTAAACGGTAATTGTTTACAAAACAACGTAATATACCAAGCCACGATAAAACCACCAGATAATGAAGAAATGGTATATATATGAGTAACTGAAGGACCTTGGAAACAAAGAAATTATGCACACAAAACATCTTCCACAAATAGTAAATAGGCGAACAGCACAATGCTTTCTAAGTATATCTGGGAAATTAAAAACAAAACGCACATCACACCAAAAATATCTTGGAAAATAAGGAAAAGATCATCACCCTACAACAACCAATCAAAAACTTGAAAACTTTGCATGTAGGAAAAATAGCTATCATTACCTTCCCAGACGAAAATAAATTATCAAATAAAAGATTCGAGCTCATTTCAAAATGCAGACATGAAAACATTTTTTACTACGTTACTAAAAATAGAAAACGGAAAAATAAAATAATATTAAAAAATAAACAAATAAATAAACAAAATGACAATAAAATAAGCAAAATAAATTAACCCAAACAAATTACCAAATCACATCTATATAGAATAGACGAAATAGAATAAAAAATAAGAAACAAAATCAATGAACCCAAAGAAATAAAGTAAATAATAAACAAATTAGCAAACCATTATGACGAAAATATTAGTTAGACTATAAAAATGAAACCAAAAATCAGACGAAAAAAATAGCTATAACTGTTGTATAATGATAAAAAAATACTACGTTTCTTAAAAATCAAAAAACGAAAACAGAAAATATACAGTATAACAAAAAATAATAACAAGTAAAATAAATTGACCTAAATTCATCAAAATAAATAGATAAACTAACAAACCGATCTCGATAAACTAACCGTTAGAAAAAACAAATAAAGATAATCAATCCAAATAAATACATGAAGTAATAAACAAATTAAAAACTGTTCCCTCAAAAAAATAATAGTTAGAATAAACTACAACAATCAACGCCAAAAATGAATAAATAGCTTTATCTTCCCAAACTAAAACGAAACTATTAAATAAGCGATATAAACACATTTTTACTACGTTAATAAAAACACCGGTTAAAATAAAAAATAAATAAATAAATAAATAAGATAGGAAATAAAAATAAAAAAATGAAAAATAAAAATATATAAAAACAAGCAAAATAATTTGACCCAAATAAATAAATAAACAAATAAACGACTTCCGGTAAAATAACCGCCAAAATAGACTACCCACAATGCACCACTGACCCCTATATATAAATAGCCGAGAAAAATAACAGCACTCGTTGCCTGACGATTGCATCTAGCATCAAACACACTCTCGCCTCTAAGTGCTGACTTCTATGTTCACTTTTATATTTACACACGCTCTATCTCTGATATTGAGCACTTTATCCCATAAATATAGCACACCTTAAGACTATATTTCTTCACATATATATATATATATATATATATATATATATATCTGAGTGTGCGTTCAACGTTTAGAGATTTAATACAAAAAAATATTTTTCGTGTATACTAAATCAGGTTTGGTTTGGTTTGGTTTACGGCATATCAGTTTCAATGGGTTATTTAATTCCGAGAACTTTTTTCCTGGTAATATTTTGTCAAAAATCTATTTCTGGTAATATTTTTTTCCTCTAAAATCTAAATCAGGTAATCTAAGGTTTAAAGGCTTATAGATTTCAATTGACCTGATGAATATTTAGCAGCGTCTTCAAATTTTAAACTTCCCTTTTGCAGATGCCACATGACGTAATCTAAAGTCTAAATGCCTTGATATTTCTGTTAACGTGTTGAAAATTATAACATGAGTATATTATAGCATCACTACAAAAAATAGCCATTTTGTTTCAAAATGGCTATATATATGGACATTGCGTTCAACTTTTTCCGTTCATATTTTTATATTAATGTTATAACATGCTTGTTATAATTTTTGAATATATATATATATATGCGTGTGTGTGTATATGTGTGTATTTATGTACATATGTATGCATGTATGCATGTATGTGTGCGTATGTGTGTAAATGTGTGTGTTCTACCCGTGCATTTACTAAGCTTATAATTTGACTCGTTATTGTCATAATCCACATAGTGAGAATCTTGCTACATTATAAAACTGAATTGCAGTACGCAACGGTAGGAACTCTTGATCATTCCCGTTTGACCTCAATGTACGTTCTTATCAGTTCATTCATATAATCGGCCATTTCTTTTTTTTTTAATTCATTCAAGGAAGTAGTAATCGTGTGTGTGTGTGTGTGTTTGCGCACGCATGCGTGAGAGAAAGTGAGTGTGTGTGAATGCTTTCTTGTTTTACAGTATGATAATTGTCAAAGTTTATGTACCTTTGGGGTCGAATGATGTTTTATGTCTGTACCTGTCAATCACCAATAAATACGCTTTGTTCCTCTTTTGTCTCTCGCTACCCTAGTTTTTTAATCCCACAGCTTCCTTTATTAAATTTATTTGCCTCCGTCTTTCCTTTCTTCCGCACTTTTCCATTCCCCACCCATTTCTCACTTTCCTTCTTCCTTTTCTTTAATTTATTTGTACATTTTTTTTTTATTTCACTTTATGCTTTTTCTCTTTGTTTTTTTTTTCTTTCATTTTCATTGTTCCCGCTTACTTTCATTCTCATCGCCGACACATCCTGCCGTTTTTCTACAAGCTCTTTTCTTTCTTTCTTTCTTTCTTTCTTTCTTTCTTTCTTTCTTTCTTTCCCTTACTACCTTCTTTCTTTCTTTCTTTCTTTCTTTCTTTCTTTCACTCCTTATTGTCATTCCTCTATCTCTTCCGTTCTTTCTTTGATTTTTGCTTGCTCACTTGCTATATTTCCCGTTTGGCAAACTATTACATTTCTTTCTTTCTTTCTTTCTTTCTTTCTTTCTTTCTTTCTTTCTTAACGTCTTCACTCCATATTCACCCCATATATATGTTGTTCTTTTTTCTTTTTCTAACGTCTCCACTCTTTATTGTTATTCGTCTATCACTTTCTTTTTTTCTTTCTACTTATTGTTCTATCGTTTTCTTTCTTTATTTTTCAATGTCTTCTCTAATTATTGTGATTCTTATATCGCTTTCTTTCTTTCTTTCTCTTTTTGAACGTCTTATCTAATTAGTGTGATTCTTTTAACGTTTTCTTTCTTTCTTTCTTTCATTCTTTCTTTCTTTCATTCTTTCTTTCCCTTTTCACTACTTATTGTTATGCTTCTACGCTTTCTTTCTTTCTTTCTTTCATTCTTTCTTTATTTATTTATTTCTTAACCTTTTCACTACTTATTTTTATGCTTCTATCGCTTTCTTTCATTCTTTCTTTCTTTTTCAATGTAGTCTCTAATTATTGTAATTCTTACATCGTTTTTTTTCTTTCTTTCTTAACGTCTTCACTAGATATCGTTATTCTTCTATCCCTTTCTTTCTTTCTTTCTCTTTTTGAACGTCTTCTCTAATTAGTGTGATTCTTCTATCGTTTTCTTTCTTTCTTTCTTAACCTCTTCACCACTTATTGTTATTCTTCTATCGCTTTCTGTCTTTTTGAATGTTTTCTCTAATTATTGTGATTCTTTTATCGTTTTCTTTCTTTCCTCTTTTATTAACGTCTTCTCTCCTTATTTTTCTATCGCTTTCTTTCTTTTTTCTTTCTTTGACTTTTTCTTTCTTTCCCTCTTTCTTTGTCTAACTTTAAACATTAAACTAACTTTACATTCATCTATTTATTTTATTCCATTCATTCTATCTTTTTTTTTACTCATAAATCTTACTGTCCATCATTTTCCCATATTTTTTTTCTTCCATGTTCCTTCTTTCATTTAATAGACATTTAATTTTTATTGTAATAATATCCGATTTTTTTGTTTTATGCTTATTGTTTTCCAGTTACTTTTCGATCATTACACACACACACACACACATATATATATATATATATATATATATATATATATATATATATATATATATATATATATATATATATATAAATTTGTGTATTTAAGCAGCAATCCTTTTTCATGCACATTTCATTGAAAACGACAGATAAGGCGATTTGATTAAGTTTTTATACAATTTCTCATGGGATCTAATATATTTTTTGTTTTCGAATGATAAATTATATAAAAACTATCCAACTGTCCAATTTTTCTTTTTATCCGATCACTTTCGGCTATACATTTTGCCATTTTCAAGGTTGAAATATATTAACTATATTCCTTGTTAACAGTTAATATATTTCAACCTTGGAAATGGCTAAATGTATAGCCGAAAGTGCTGGGATAAAAAGAAAGATTGGACACTTGGACAGTTTTTATATAATTTATCATCCAAAAAGAAAAAAATTATTAAATCAAAGCCACATGTCTGTCGTATTCAATAAAATAAATACACACACACACACACACACACACACACACACACACATATATATATATATATATATATATATATATATATATAAATGAAATAAATCCTAAAGAGCCAGGAACAACCTAACTAGGTTTTACCTAAACGGATCTTCAGGGTAAGTTGAATATATATATATATATATATATATATATATATATATATATATATGTATGTATGTATTACGCTCTCGTTATTCTATCGAGCACTATAGTGAAAAGAGTAATTCCAAAACATCGGATGTCTATCCACACCAACGACCTGTGATACAGCGAAACTCGCTTGTATGTGGATGACTATATATATATATATATATATATATATATATATATATATATATATGTGTGTGTGTGTGTGTGTGTGTGTGTGTATATTTAGGCAGCATGATAGATAGATAGATAGATAGATAGATAGATAGATAATGAACAGATCGAGACAGATAGATAGATAGATAGATAGATAGATAGATAGATAGATAGATAGATATGAACAGATATGTACAGACTGAGATACATCTTCTATGTATACAAATATATATGTACATTTAGCATTCATGGCATTTCTGTCATTTTTCTATTGTTTTTATGTAACATTTCGAGCATCATATTCTCTGGTTTTTGTTCAGAATATCGTGATAAAAAACGACAAAACAATAAAATATTTTATTGAATATTAGCAACTCATCTAAAAGTCTCAGAATTCATCAGAAGTCTGATCTCAAAGAATTCAGAAAAATATGTATACATGAGATATTAAATCACTAAATATATACTCAATCCACAACGACGAAAATGTCTCTAGTATATAATGGGTCCGGCTTTATCTAATACATATCCTCTCTCTCTCTCTCTCTCTCTCTCTCTCTCTCTCTCTCTCTCTCTCTCTCTCTGCTATTTGAACGGATTCTCTTGTCTCTTTTCAGTCTTTACGTGAATTCATTGCACCCGGCAGGTTTTCTGATTTGTATCCAGTATCTTCGCATAATTGTTGAATATTCATTTTAAATCGACGACGATTTTAGTGCGTCCATCTTTTGGTGTCCCAAGAAGTCAATTTCTGCCCAGTTAAACTTTATTTTTGCCAGGAATGTCCCACATATTATATTCTTCTTTTCCTAGTAACCTGTGAGATACAGGATGCAAACCAGAAAACTGGCCTGGTTCAATGAACACGCATGAAGACTGGAACGAATCCATGATAAACCTCTTAAGGTAGCCAAATGCCTCGTCATCTAATTAGTGACGCGAATGAACGGATCAACGAGATTCCAACTGTCCCTACCTACTATCTAGCGAAACCACAGCCAAGGGAACGGGCTTGGAACGATCGGCGGGGAAAGAAGACCCTGTACTATCAAATCGCTTTGACCTCAGACAGAGAGCATCAGTTCCAAATTATGCCGATTTCTTCAGAGTTGAATCATGGGTCTTGATTCCAAGAATTTCTGGATTATTGTTTAAAAGCCTTGGAATGGAGCTTAATGCACTAAAGATGATGACCACCATGGCAGTATCGACATGCAATGAATGGGTCATGCCATTGCGAAGATTGGTATATCTGCAGAGTTTCTCAGGTGCTTTCTCTACAAGATTTTGATCTCTTGATTATTGAACATCAACATGATAGCACTTTCTTTTGAATTCATTATTATTATTATTATTATTATTATTATTATTATTATTTCCTTTGATTTCTGATTTGTACTCATTTCTTTCCGGGTCCCGCCCAGAGACCTAAGGTTAGAAATGGCATCATGACATTTTCCACTGACCAATTAAAAAAAAAAAACCCAAAATCCGCAAACATATTTTACACAGATAACGCCCTTCGTAAAGCGTGGGTTGTACTCGTGAGAACTAATTTTTGTATTTCTTTGAGGCATGGACTTCCAGGAATCCCTTCAGTGAGTTTACTAGAATCTTTTCCAACCAATCCGAGGATTCCAACTACAACAGAGATTGTTGATGTTCCCATGTGCCACAATTTTGAGATTTCTATTTCAAGGTCCTTGTATTTTGATAGCTTTTTGAATATCTTCAAAGATACATTGCAGTCTGCAGGGACTGCCATATCAATAAGGAGGCACTTTTTTTCTTTGCTGTCTCTAATAACAATGTCTGGGCGGTTAGCTTTCATTGTTGTTGTTTCTTTGTTCTGTTGTTTTATTTCCTTTGCTTTGTGGTATATGCTCATTTCTTTCCCGGTCCTGACCAGAAACCTAAGCTCAGAAAAGGCACCATGAAATTTTTTACTGAGCAATTTCGAAAAAAACGAAAACAATCACAGATATTTTACATAGATAAAGCTCTTCGTAAGGTATGGGGTATACGCCTGAGAAAACTTTTTGCGTTTCTTTAAGGCATGGGCTACCAGGAATTCCATAAATATGTCTATTGGAATCATTTGCAGTCAACCCGACGGCTCCAAATACAGTTGGAATTGCTGATGTTCTCATGTGCCAAATTTGTGAGGTTTCAATTTCAAGGTCCTTGTATTTTGATAGTATTTTTGGAGATCTTCAAAGATACATTGCAGTCTGCAGGGATTGCCATATCAATAAGGAGACACTCTTTCTCTTTGCGATCTCTAATCACGATGTCTTGGAGATTAGCTTTTATTGTTCTGTTTGTGTATATTATGAAGTCCCATAAAATTGTTACAGGTCCTATCTCCGTAACCGAGTCTGGGTGGTGTTCATAGTAATTACTTGCAGTTTCCTTTCCGTAAAAGCTACAGATTTTCCAGAGCAAATATTGGGCCACTCTGTCATGCTGGATTTTATATTCATGGGTTCCAATACCGGGCAACTTGACACAAGATAGTCAATTGTATCTGGATATTTATCACATAATCTATATTTTGGGCTAATTTTTCAGTATGGGTGTTTGATAATTTTTAGTTAGCAAACATTGCACCTGTGCAGCAAGGGTAAAACCTTCGGTTTCTGCTTTTAACCCTGCACTACGGAGCCACTGATGCGTACGGGCTTTGTCTACATCAGCTTCTTTGGTACGGGCAGAGTACTGACTGTGAAGCCATTGTTTCTGTATCTGGTCAGTTGAATTTGCCTTTCCTTTCTTATTTTTTTAAAAAGTATTTTGCAGCTTCAGTCGGTGCATTGTGCTTTACAAGTATTTCTTCACCCATTTGAAACTCCATTTTGAACTTGTTGGTTTCCTTCATTACGGAATAAAGTCGTTTACTACTTTCATCTTCTTTGACACATATCATCTAGTCTTCTATAGTTTCCAGGTATCTTTGAAGGCCAATTGTTGTAGTTTTGTAAGACCGTTCTAGTTGAACTAATCCTCTGCCTCCTTCGGATCTGGACACATACAGACGATCAACATCACCTTTAGGATGATGCATGCGGTGGCAAGTGAGAAGCTTTCTCGTTTTGGCGTCCATTCGCTTAATTCAGCTATATTGAAAGGATGTTGAAACTGTATTGCACCACAGGGACAGACAAGGTGTTTATGGCTGATATTCTTTTTTTTTTTTTCAATATTTGATTAAATTAATAAATTAAAAGCTTACAATTATCACTTGTTTGTTGATAAACTACATTTTCTAATTAAATGTAAATGTTTAGCAAAAATATTTTCATTGAAGTAACAGTATTTTATATTTTTTAAAAACTTTTTGTATCTGGTCTTAAGATTTTGACTAGGTGTGTATGTGAGCTCTACGTATGAATACATTTTTGCATTTCTTTAAGTCATCAGCTACCAGTAATCTCTTCAATAAGTCTACTGGAACCTTTTTCCAATCAATCCGAGAACTCCAACTACAAGTGGAATTATTGATATCCTCATGCGCCACATTTGTTTTAGATTTCTACTTCAAGATCCTTGTATTTTGATAGTTTTTTGAAGATCTTCAAAGATACATTACAATCTGTAGGGACTGCCATGTCAGTAAGAAAGCACATTCTGTTTTTGTGATCTTTGATCAAAATGTCTGAGCGATTAGCTTTGATTGTTCTGTCTCTATGTATTTTAAAGCCCATAAAATTGTTACAGGTCCTATCTCTGTAACCGGGTCTGGATGATATTTATACCAGTATCATGCGGTTTTCTTCCCGTGAAAATTGCAGATTTTCCAGTGCAAATATTGGCCCAATCTATCATGCCGAGTTTTATATTCAGTCGGTCCTAATACTGTGAAACCTAATACAAGAAGGTCAATTGTTTCTGGATATTTATCACAGAATCTGAATTTCGGGTTAACACAATTTTTTATTATGTGAGCTTGGTAATTTCTAGTTAGCATGCATTTGTTCTGTGCACACAAGAATAAAACCCCCGCTTTCAACATTTAACCTTGCACTACGTAATCACTGATGGACAGGGGGTTTGTCTACATCAGCTTTTTTGGTAAGGGCATAGAATTGACCATGAAAATGCTTATCATGCTATCGTATTTGCATTTGCTTTCTTTTTTAGATTCTCCGTCACTGCAGCAGATGTATTATGCTTGATTTGCATTTCTTCACCCACTTGAAATTCTCTTTTTGAATTGTTTGGCTTCGTTTAATATTGAATAAAGTTTCTTTTTTTTTTCATGTTCTTTGACAGATTTTCATCCTGCCTTCTGCCGTTTGCATTCTTCTTCTTCTACTTATTATTATTATTATTATTATTATTTCTTTTGATTTCTGCTGTATACACATTTTCTTCCGGATTCCAGCCAGAGACCTAATGACAGAAATGGCTTCATAACATTTTCCATTGATCATTTTTGTAAAAAAAATTATTATTATTATTATTATTATTTTCTTTGATTTCTGGCGTTTACACATTTCTTTCCGGGTCCCGCCCAGGAACCTAAGGTTAGAAATGGCATCATGACACTTTCCACTGGCAAAACAAAAAATAAAAATAAAATAAAATAATTACATAGATAAAGCCCTTCGTAAAGTGTGGGCTGTACTTGTCAGAACAATTTTTGTATCTACTTGAGGCATGGATTTCCAGGAATCTCTTCAATTAGTCTACTGCAATCTTTTCCAACCAATCCTAGGGCTCCAACTACAACAGGGATTGTTGATGTTCCGATATGCGGATAGATATTTTCGAGATTTCTATTTCTAGGTCCTTGTATTTTGACAACTTTTTGAATATCTTCAAAGATACATTGCAGTCAGCAGGGACTGCCATATCAATAAGGAGGCACTTTTTTTTAAATTATTATTATTATTATTATCTTCGTTTTCATTTTCAACCAAAGATCTTTCATTATGGCTGTTCTCCATCAAGTCTAACGACCTCAGGCAACACCTTTCGCAGAATATTTACAGGGCCAAGCAACGCGGACTTCTGAAGCGATAGGATAGTAGGCTTTATTCCGATTTTCTCAATGATGCACTTTAAGTTCGCTGGTATAGACCCATCATCATCATCATCATCAGCTTAAAATATTTATTTGTTTATTATTTGTATTTTCCTAGAAATGTGCCATAAGAATATTAACTAATACATGAAATAATATATAAGGCAAAAAAGACTTAATTTGTTTTGCGTAACAACCCTTTAATAAAACTGTTATTTATTGACGGAATGCTTAACTGAGTGATTGTCATCAACTTCTCGTCTTTTTCTGATTCATTTACACATTATACATTCCATCGAATTCCACTTATTGTTTCCAATTTTCATTTCTTTGGATAGATAGATAGATAGATAGATAGATAGATAGATAGATAGATAGATACGAACAAACTGAAACAGATAAATAGATACGAACCTACTGACTAGATAGATAGATAGATAGATAGATAGATAGATAGATAGATAGATAGATACGAACAAACTGAGATAGATAAACAGATACGAACAAACTGACATAGATAGATAGATACGAACAGACTGAGACAGATAAACAGATACGAACAAACTGACTAGATAGATAGATAGATAGATAGATAGATAGATAGATAGATAGATACGAACAAACTGAGACAGATAAATAGATACGAACCTACTGACTAGATAGATAGATAGATAGATAGATAGATAGATAGATAGATAGATAGATAGATAGATAGATACGAACAAACTGAGATAGATAAACAGATACGAACAAACTGACATAGATAGATAGATAGATAGATAGATAGATAGATAGATAGATAGATAGATACGAACAAACTGAGACAGATAAATAGATACGAACCTACTGACTAGATAGATAGATAGATAGATAGATAGATAGATAGATAGATAGATAGATTCGTTTAAGAGTAAATGAATGCGGAAGAGGAAGTCGCAAATGAGCATGTCAGCCAGGTGGTTACCCGGTGTGATAGGAAGAGATTGACTCTAATCTTAAATGGCCAACATATTCAGCGACCCGGCTTCATCTCACCTTACCCCGCTACCGAGCGTTCCCTAATGCCTGTAAAACCCCACCGCAACACATCTCAACCGCCATTCTCCCAGCCTCGTCCCTAACCCTCCACTCTGGTCACCGACTTTTGAGCTTCTATCGGACCGGCTTTACAACATCTTCACTTCCTGAAGACCCTAACCCTAACCCTTTCGGATCTGATCCTGTCCTAATCTAATGTCGGACTGGGAAAATTACCCAATCACTTTCTCCAACGCTCGCCTCCGCTCCGAGATTTTTGTATTATTTTTGTAGTTCTCTTCCCAGAATTCATTTTTGTCTTATTTATCTTTTCTCAAACTGACTTACCTTTCTTTCTTTCTTGCTTGCTTTCTTCTCATCTCATTCATATCCATCTCTTCTTTCTTTCTTTCTTTCTTTCTTTCTTTCTTTCTTTCTTTCTTCTCCTTTCATTCATATCAATCTCTTTTTTCTTTCTTTCTTTCTTTCTTCTCATCTCATTCACAACAATCTTTTCTTTCTTTCTTTCTTTTTTATGTCTTTCTTTCTTTCTTTTTTATTCTCATCTTATCCATATCAATCGCTTTCTTTTTTATTCTTACCTCATCCATATCAATCTCTTTCTTTCTTTCTTTCTTTCTTTCTTTCTTTCTTTTTTTTTTTCTCTTCCCATTCATATCAATCTCTTCTTTTTTTCTTTTTTCTGTCTTTCCTCCTTTCTTCTTTCACGCCTGCATGCTTTATTTTTTCTTCTAATTATTTTTCTTTCTTTCCTTGTTTATTTATTTTTCTATTTTTTCTTATCATCTCTATCTTTCATTGTTTATCTTTTACCTTTTCCTTTTTTTCAACTCTTTCTTTTTCTTTCTTCTCCTCTCGTTCATAGGAAGCTCCTCTTTCTTTCTTTCTTTCTTTCTTTCTTTCTTTCTTTCTAAAGTGATTCTTTCTTTCATTCTTTCTACAGTGATTCTTTCTTTCTTCTCATCTCATCCATATCAATCTTTTTTCTTTCTTCTTTTTTTATTCTTATCCCATCCATATAAATCTTTCTTTCTTTCTTTCTTTCTTTCTTTCTTTCTTTCTTTCTTTCTTTCTTTCTTTCTTTCTTCTCGCGTTCATATCAGTCTCTTCTTTCTTTTTCTGTCTTTCTTTTCTTTTTTAACGCCTTATTGTTATTTTTCTATCGATTTTCCTTCTAACAATTATGTTCGACGATTTTACTTTCCGGCTCCAGTCTCTCTTCCAGCTTCATTCTTAACCTCTTAACTTCTTTTCATCCCCCTCTTCCCTTTTTTCCTTCTTTTTCCCTTCCTTCTTTCTTTCCTGTTTTTTCCTTTCTATAGGTACCAAGGTAGGAAGGAAGGAAGGAAGGAAGGAAAGAAGGAAGAAAGGAAGCGTGAGACGTACTTAGGTGGATAGTCTAGTAAAACAATTGAAGGGACAACGAAAAGAAAGAAAGAAAGAAAGAAAGAAAGAAAGAAAGAAAGAAAGAAAGAAAGAAAGAAAGAAAGTTCATTGCTAAAAAATTTAGTAAGAAGTAAAATGTATAAAGTTGAAAAACTAAAGAAAAAATTGCAAAAAGGAAGGAAATGGGGAGGGGGAAATATAGAGAAAGAAAGGGGAAAGCAGAGTAAGGAAGAAAGGTTAAAATAATGGTCAGATATGAAAAGAAAGAAAGAAAGAAAGAAAGAAAGAAAGAAAGAAAGAAAGAAAGAAAGAAAGAGAAAACTAAAGGGAAAGGAAGAAAGGATTAATCATCAAAGAGAAACAACTTGAAAAAGAGAAAGTTAGGCAGTCAGTTGCAGATGGAAAATGTTAGTTAAAAAAAAAAAACGTGATTAGTTGCATGATCGGGTGCTGGGTGAGGCAAAGTCCATTCAGAATCACTACAAGGTGACTAGCACATGTTGCTTGTCTTGTCCCACAATTGTCTCACTTGTCACACACGTGACCCAGTGCGAGAGCACTTCCGCCTCCTCTTGGTCTCGTCGGAACACCCACCATCAAGGTAAATTGAGTGTGTGCGTCAGTAAGACACACACTCATTCGAATCACCATTTGATCAGAGACTTAATGACATGCAGAGGTTTTGACGTGTACAGGTGTGAAGGTGGACATTAGCCGCAGTGAATGTGCTTCTATGGGGATAGTTTGGCGGGGGTTTTCTCACCTCAAACCCACCTCTTTATCTATCTATCTATCTATCTATCTATCTATCTATCTATTTCTTTCTCTCTCTCTCTCTGTATATATATATATATATATATATATATATATATGATATGACGATCGCAAAGACCGTGAAACACAGGGTCACAAATTCACATCAGCGCAACTAAATATGTTAGCACTATCGTTGATATTAAGCGCTTTACAATAGGTACCATGCATGTATAATATATAAATAATATATATATATAAATTGCATATATATATATATATATATATATATATATATATATATATATATATATATATATATATATATATATATATATATATACGTACTATATACATATATATATATATACATATTATATATATATATATATATATATATATATATATATAAATATATGGATATAGATCCGACAGTATGAAGAAAAATACATGGAAAAACAAACAAAAATTCTAATATGCAATTATGCTGTTTTAATGTTAATATAATGTCAACGTTGGACGTAACATAATTAACATTAGACTATATTCAATTCAACATAAAAAGACGATGGACATAAGATTATTTGGATTAGTCTTACTCTTATGTCCATCGTCATTTTCATGTTGAATTGAATATAGTCTAATGTTATGTTTTATGAATATGTCCTGAAGATGGTCTATTAGACCGAAACGTCCGACGTTGACATTATATTAACATTAAAACAGCATAATTGCATATTAGGATTTTTGTTTGTTTTTTCGTATATTTTTTTCATTTTCATATATATATATATATATATATATATATATATATATATATATTAAACACCTCCATAGAAACGCGATACCTAATGTATAAAATTGATTTGAAACTTAAAGTTGTAATTTCATACTAATAGATTAAATTTAATATTTCCAATAAACCGCATTATACTTTGCTGTATCTCAAAAACTAATTTAAATTGACGGGAAGGATTTTCTTTTTCTTTCCTTTTTTTTTTTTCTAAAGTAGCTGATTAGCATCCTTTTTTTAGTTGTGCTTCATCGCAATATAATTCTCTTTATTTTAAAAAAAAATCCAAAAATAAAATCTTTTCTGAAACTCTATTTGAGGAATATCAGCTGATTTAAAGTATAATTAATCTGATTTGAAACAAATATTATTTACTTTAAAAATTTTTAAAGTTTTAAAACTTTTTAAAGTTTAAAATATCGCAGAAATGCATTTAATCCGACTGCAGGTGTGGTCTTAATCCGACAGCAGCTGTTTTGACGTATTGAATACCTGATTACAGGTTTAATGTGCTGTTCAATGGAGACTTTATCTGTAAAACATAATTTAAGAAAATGACGTGAGTGCCCTTTTTGTATAATATTAAATTTACAAAATTAGGAAAATATTCTCCGTAATCTAATGTTTTATTAAATTTTAGACATGTTGACTATAAACTTACTATAGTTATCACAATTATATTCCGATAATGTCGCGCATGGTCTTCTGTACTTCCAAAAATGGGCACGTTTATACACATACAAAAAATTTTTTAAATGCTTTTAGAAATATTGTTGTTTGATGATTTGTATTAAGCTTTTCCATTTATGATTACTAAATATAGTTTTCACTTATTAATATCATCTATAATGCTGAAATTAATACAGACTTTTAAAAGATTTAAAATTTAATAATTTTTATAATAAAAAATAAAATAAATGAAAACAATTCTTGTAAAAATACATTATTCATAGAAAAAAATTTCTTAAGCCAATAGTTACCTTAATATATATTATTTATAAAAGTAATTAAAAGCTTTTTTCATTGAATGAGGTCATAATTTTATTGATTTTTTTTTATTTTACAATTCCATTGGTAAATGGGGTTTCTATTCGACAAAGCCAAACTGATGATTGAAATTCTTCAAGGAATCCTGCTTTTAACTAATATAAATATGAAGAGGCTGAAATTTTAATTTCTTAAAATTTCATAAAATTAAGTTAATAGTGGCGGGGGTGAAAAAAATATCTTTACCAAGATTTTCTAAAAAAATCCCGAAAATAATTTAATTCATTTTTAATAGGTCCTGAAAATTTAATTAAAATCCGACAATTATTTGATTTTTGCAAGAATTTCTCAAACAATGTGTTTTTAACGACAAAAAGGACGCTGAAAATGCATATACTCATCTTTGCCAAGCCCGCTGACACAAGAAAACCAAGACTTTAAACCAAAATTTCGAACGTGGTGGAAAGGATTAAATAATTTAATTAAAAAAAGACGCCAAAAATAATTTAAAAAATAATTTGATGTTTCCTCTTAATAATATAATGATTTTGACAATAACACTTTTCTATAAAATTTAGAGACTTTTTCATCATGGTATGCTCTTTTTTTTTTAGAAAATATCTGGCGGTACCAACATATCTATCTATATATATATATATATATATATATATATATATATATATATATATATATATGTATGTATTTAGGCAGCAACCCTTCTTTCATGCATGTTTCATTGAATACGACAGAAAAGGTGTTTTGATTTAGTTTTTTATACAATTTCTCATGCGATCTATTTTTTTTTTCTTTTCTGATATAAAAACTGTCCTAATGTTCTTTTTTTCCGAGCGCTTTCGGCTATACATTTACCCATTTTCAAGGATAAAATATTTTAACTGTTGAATAAGAAATAGTTTGTTGCATGTATGTATTTATATAAGGTTATCATTTTTCAAAACACGGTCAAGATATTGTGTCCATGTTCATAGT